ACCTAGATATCTTGAACAGACATCTTATTTTCTACTAATAGCATTTATTAATCAAAATAGTAAACTGATGTATGCAAATACACAGCAGGGCTGATATTCAAGCTGGTATAATATGTCTCTACTTTTGGAGTCTGTGTTGTTGTCAATTTATTCGAGTTAAGATGGGGGATGGGTGTGGATTATTTCGAGGCTCTAAATTAAACTTTAACAAGTACTTTTTAACAGCATTATCTTCTTTGTATTTCTTTCATAAATTAATGGTATTTTACATTACAGGGCGGAGAAGCTAATAGACCTTGTAAAAGTGCTTTAAAAACGCATAGCCACGACAGTTTGTGATCTTTTGAGCAGCACTTCTGCTTAGCTATCTACCTGTAACTGTCAGTCTGTTAGTTCAGCCTGAGCCAGAGACAAGTTCAACTCTCTGTCACTCCAGTCAGTCTCAGTGCTGTGGGGGAAGGGCGCGCGCGCGATCAGTCTCTCTCAGTGCTGTGGGGGAAGGGCGCGCGCGCGATCAGTCTCAGTGCTGTGGGGGAAGGGCGGCTGATCACAGTGTGAGCAGATCTCAGTCAGACTGACAGTCACAGGCAGAGCTAGGGTTAGGGTTAGGGTTAGTGCAGATCCAATGGCTTTTAAAATCAAATTAAGTACAAAATAATTATGTAAACAAACATTTAAACGTGTCAGCTTGATTCATGATTCTTTTAAACACTTTTTTTCTTTTGTATGACTATATGTAACTGCTCTGCCCCCCCCCCCCCCCTCTCTCTCTCTCTCTCTCTCTCTCTCTCTCTCTATCTATCTATCTATCGATTTATATATATATATATATAGGCTATATATATATATATTGAGAGATAGATAGATAGAGAGAGAGAGAGTGAATGTATGCTGTAACTGCTCTCCTCTATAAACAGTTCTTATCAGTCGCTTTGGTACATTTCTTGAATCATCCTTAAGATTTGCAAACAAGGAAAGTGCATTTCGTACAAACAGCAGAACACAATAGGATTACATGACAGCATTTTGACATTCTTGTTTGTGACACAAGGCACTGATATGTTCATTGATATATATTGTACTAAGGATTTTTAACAAGTTACAGGCTTTTGATGGTTGTCAATATAACTGTATCAGTATTTTGAGAAGTAAACACTGGCTACGATTTTGATGACAATGAAAAGACTGCACATTATCTGTATGACACATAAACACATGTACCCATTATGAGACTGGACTCACAGATACACTGTTGGTCTGTTAAAAAATGACAATGCCATTGCGATGAACAGACTATTCAAACACATACTGTATATGTGTGTGTGTTACATTATGTCTCTATCAAGTATATTTATATAGCGCTTTTCACAATATAGATTGCATCAAAGCAGCTTCACAGTATCAATCAAAACATAATAACAATGTTCGTTTCTTAGTGGAAAAACATCCACGTTTGGTAGAGCTGATCAATAGTATTAATGATTGGTTAATTAATTTGAATATCCCCAACTGAGCAAGCCAAAGGCAACAGTGGCAAGGAACCGAAAAACTCCATCAAGTGACCCGATGGTGTCCTAAAACTCCATCAGGGACCCAATGGAGAAGAAAAAAACCTTGGGAGAACCCAGGCTCAGTGGGGGCCAGTTCTCCTCTGGCGTTTATGAACTAGAGGCCGGATTTACAGTAACTGCAAGGTAAAAATGTATATGAATGTCTCTAAACAGACTTTAAACGTGAACCTGTGATTAACGCTGATGGCGTTCACATGCGCATTAAGAATTGATTCTATAGTTATGTGCGTTTGAATATATGTGCGTAGGTTTGTATTTCCCTAGAAAACCATGCCTGAACAAATTACTTGTCTATAAATTTGATACATAATTTTGTTTTATTTTATCACTTCGGGGTAGGTACGCGAAACTAGATTCACAACGCTTTATCTGTAGAGTTTATTGTTTATTGTTTATTATTTAGATCCCCATTAGCTACTCCATTAAGCAGCAGCTATTCTTCCTGGGGTCTTAACAATTTTTCAACAAAATATTAACATCAAGGCTGTACAACAATGAAGACAAATACAGAAGTGCACACAACATCATTTAAGATATCTAATTAGTGGGAAAGGGATCTCTATCACGTATTTTTACTGTCTCATGTAAAATGCAAGTAGACTCCACTGTAATACAGTAAGTCTACAGCTTATGGTGAACAGTACAGTATAGTGAACACTGTCTGATTACACGCATGTTCTGTCTATAAAGACTTGAATGTTTGAGGACACACACGGTTGTTCTCCCAACATTCAGCTCAGCTTTCAACCCGCCTCGGCCATGAGGTCATGAACATGATCTACAATATTGGCCCCTATTTCTTCAGAAACCTACAATCTCTCTGTTTTACCTCTGTATCCTTCCACCACACATCCTTACTCCTCCTCTTCTTCTTCTCGGCTGTTACCCTGTTGTTCTTCCATTCTCAGAGTGTGTATGTGTTGTGCTCTGTCTATATGGCTTCCAGAGGAAGCTTCATGAGATGCACTCTGAGCGATTATAGAGAACTGGTGATCATTGATTGATCTAATGCTTTACATTCCCCTTCATTAGTGAAATTCAAAATTCACATCTGCAATTCAGGACAAAAAAAGTATAATAGAATTGTATAGAAAATATGTTTGACAGTTTATGACAACTAGTAATTTAATGCCTATATGTTTTGAGGGGTAAGACTATTCAACAGAGAACCAGTATAATACATTTTGATCAACATGACATAAGCAATTGATAATGTAAGAAACAGCAGACACTTACATTTATTGCATGAATGTACCAAAGCATTTGCAATTTGTTCAAAAGAATGATAAACTGCTTTCATGATGTGCACAAGTGACTAGATGATGTGGAGGTTGAACAAGAATTTTAGTTGTGATTTGAGAAATGCACCAAAGCGCCTTAAAAAAACGTATGTAATTAGTGTAAACATTTAATTAATATAATAATATAATATGAGAATGTTTCATGCAGCTGCTCTCCTCTATATAATATAATATAAAATAATATAATATATACTACAAAGAGAATGTTTGCTGTAACTGCTCTCCTCTTTATATAATATAAAATAATACAATGCAATATAATATAATAAGAATAATGTTTGCTGTAACTGCTCTCCTCAATATAATATAATATAATATAATATAATATAATATATAAAGAAAAAAGTTAGCTTGTTTGCTGTAGTGAATGTGTTGCTGTGGTAACTGGTAACGGAGTCCTGTCCTGCTCGTGCGGGGGGTGGGGGAGGGGCGGTGGCCACTCAGGGAAATCACTGATATTATGAGAGGAAACGGCAGAACGCAAAGTAGGAGAAAACACTTCAAACAAATAAAATCACTCATAAAAGCAAGCGATTTAGCATGTTTTCACATCTTTTGGTGGCTTGTGTGTTTTTATTAAACAAACTTGGATGAATAAATCATCACATCCATATTGACAGATTTAAACAGCTGTTCCTCCGCTTTTGGAAGAAAATATGTACTTTGTAAATTCACATGACGTAATGTCTCTGTCTCTTCCCCGCTTCAAACTCGTTCCTACATGATTAATAAACTCCTATGTAAGTTACTGTACAGCTGTATAGTCTCGGTGACGCGCAGCAGCGCGATCTTCACACACACATAACGTTACACAGAGCAGACTCCGATGCGAGAGCAAAACTGCGAGGATTAAAGTTTAATAACATGCCCATATACATCGTGAGAGCTCCTGCTGCTCAGGGTAAATTAGTCTATTTTTATTTAAATAATAATTATTGCGAATTTATCTATTATTGAATGTGGATTATCTGTCAATTCATTCATAATAATGATATCGCCTCCGCTCCGCCATTTTTGTTGATGACGTGATGGCCTCAGATTGGTCAGATCATTAAGTCCCGCTCTCATAGTGGCTTCCTGCGCTCTGATTGGTCAGAATCCCCGAAGTGTGTATCTTTTCCGGAAGTGCAGTACTCCTAGAGGGCGCTGTGTTATACACACTTTAGTGGGGGGGCATACACACTTCACATACACAAATCACTTAAAACTGATTTTTTGGGACAAGTGAGATTTTAAGTCTGGACACCATTTTAGAGTATGCTGAATGCCATTATATAGTCAAACAAATGAGGACATACAAAATGTCCTCAATTTTTGAGGTGGTCCTCAGTTTACTGGTGTGTATCCTGGTGAATGTACCCAAAAGGGACATAAACAAACACACACACACACACACACACACACACACACACACACACACACACACACACACACACACACACACACACACACACACACACACACACACACACACACACACACACACACACACACACACACACAAACGCATATGCATTAATTCTTCTGTTAAACCGTAGCAGTCTAAATCATAATTTACAGTCATATTTGGTTTTTAGGCGTTGTATTGTGTTGGTAAAAAAGTTGTAAAATTGCATATTACATTACACAGAAAACTTTAGTAAGCAACATTTGTGCAATTTTTGGCTTTTGTCAATAAGTTAAGCTCAAACAACAGTATAATGACATAATGTTGATAACCTCAAAAATCTAGTTCAACTGGTCCCTCAGCTGAATTTTATTTTTGTGGTTATCAACATTATGCCACTAGTACTGTTGTTTGAGCTTAACTTATTGAGCTGAACCCATAATATTACTTAAATGACAATTTGTTATAAATATTTATAATTAATAGGGAATCACAAATTATCCCAAAAAAAACTGGGGAAGTATTTATAGCATGGGTGTGTAAAGTCCAAGCATTTTCCGGAAAAAGAAAATCCTCTCCGGGTCAAAATGACCCGAACACAACATGGATAAACATGGAGAAAGTGTCACTAAAAACTATGCTTTTGCATCTGCCTCAGTAAAGGTGACTTTATTAACACAGTGTTTATGCATAACCTCATAAAAATAATTTTCCTTGTACTGTGTTTAATGTTTTCAGAAAAGCATCTGTAATAATGGATACAGAGGAGAACCCTCCAGCTAAAGAGCGTCGCTGTGAGAGGAGAGAAGAGGGTGCTGCACCATGTCCCAGCAGCGTGTCTATAAAGAGCACAAATTCAATGATTCAACCCATAAATTTCGGAAGTGGACCTGAGACCTCTGAACACATGTGAGATTCTTTTTCCAGTATTTGAGACAAGAACCTGAAACATCAGATAGTGCTAAGAAACAAAACGATTGCTTTGTCTTCTCTCTGTATCTCTAGGAGAAATAGAGGAGGCCCAATTTTGTGTTCTTATTACAAATGTTACTCCTGGTAGCTTATTCACACACACACACACACACACACACACACACACACACACACACACACACACACACACACACACACACACACACACACATTAACACACACATATGCAATAATTCTTCTGTTAAACCTTAGCAGTCTAAATCATCATTTACAGTCATATTTGGTTTTTAAGCGTTGTTTTGTTTTGGTAAAAAAGTTGTAAAATTGTATATTACATTACAGAGAAAAGTTTAGTAAGCAACATTTGTGCAATTTTTGGCTTTTATCAATAAATTAAGCTCAAACAACAGTATAATGACATAATGTTGATAACCTCAAAAATCTAGTTCAACTGGTCCCTCAGCTGAATTTTATTTTTGTGGTTATCAACATTATGCCACTAGTACTGTTGTTTGAGCTTAACTTATTGAGCTGAACCCATAATATTACTTTAATGACAATTTGGGGATTATACATACAATTGAGTGGATGTGTGTCTATTACTAACATGCAATATTAGGTATAAATATTTATACAACAGAATATTTTAGATACAATTATTAAATCTCTGCTTTGGCTATATAATGCCAGACACATGCACACATAGACCTCAATTGGTGCTCAAGCATCTTGCTGGTAGCAAAAATTCTCTCTGACCAATCAGTGATCTGTAGTGTTTTCACGTCACATTTTAGTATCAGTACGGCTCAACCAATGTGGTACCATTTAAAGCACGCTTCGGCTTGCTTTAAATGGTACCACCTCGGTTGAGCCGTACCAAACTATACCAAGCAGTGGAAAAGCGCCAAATGAGACACCGTGACGGCCAACACAGCTAACGCACTCAAATCAAGCAGCATCCATGTCTTCTTGACCTGCCTTCATTAGTGGCAGCCAGTTAACAGTCATGTCTGCATTGTTTGCCACTGCTGTGAAAATTAAATCACTATTAAAACATCTCAATAGAGTCAACCTAGTTTAGGATAAATACCTCCATTAAGCTTAACAAGCAAACTGATCTGATGTGTAAAATAGCGTCATGCAAGGTCGAAAATGCCAACAAAATGAATAAAATGCCCCCAAAAATTAAGATGTGTGAGTTCTTGTTATATTCATAATTGAGCAGGGACCGTTGACCCTATTGGAGCCATGTGATATTTTTGCCTGTATTGGACAAATGATACATGCATAGATATAGATCAATTTACAATATATTTTCGTGTGGCATGTCAGCATGCCATATACCTGAAAGAGCTACTTCTGTGTAACACTTGTGCCGAGAAGTGTAGACTAAATGCTCTAATTTCTTTTTGATGTTTTTGCAGTGGGGAAAATTATGTTACTGGAGACCTGCAGGATTCCTACCAAGAAATGAGTGATGCCATGAAGACAGCCAAAACCACTCACAAAACCAGCATGAAGAACAAGTATGAGCGCTTATTTGAGGGAATCAATCTACAAGAGAATCCAACCCTCCTGAACAGGATCTACACAGAGCTCTACATTATAGAGGGAGATGCTAAAGGGGTGAATGAAGAACATGAGATTTTAAAGATGGAGAAAACACTTTGGTCACAATTTTCACAAGATATTCCAATATACTGCAATGACATCTTTAAACCCTTACCTAAACCAGGATGTAAGGAGAATGACCAAATCAAGACTGTTCTTACTAAAGGCAACGCTGGAATTGGAAAAACCGTCTCAGTGCAGAAGTTCATTCTGGACTGGGCCGAGGGAAAAGCTAATCAGGATGTAGATTTCATGTTTGTGCTTCAATTTCGAGCGCTGAACTTGATTACAGATCATCAGTACAGTCTTCACAGTCTTCTGCTGGACTTTCATCCTGAACTTAAAGAACTGGACCCAAAGATTTATGATGAATGTAAAGTTGTGTTCATCTTTGATGGTCTGGATGAAAGCAGAATTACACTGTTTTCTGATGATAAGAAAGTTTCTGATGTCAATGAGACTTCATCAGTGGGTGTGTTGATTTCAAACCTCATAAAAGGAGATCTGCTTCCCTCTGCTCACATCTGGATCACCTCCAGACCAGCAGCAGCCAATCAGATCCCCTCCAAATACATCAGCCATGTGACAGAAATTCAGGGATTCAATGACCCTCAGAAGGAGGAATATTTCAGGAAGAGAATCACTGATGAGCATCAAGCCAGCATTATCATCTCTCACATTAAAAAATCAAGAAGCCTCCACATCATGTGCCACATACCCGTCTTCTGCTGGATCACATCCACTGTGCTTCAAAACATCCTGAAACAACATGCCAATGCAGAAATCCCTCAAACTATGACTGAAATGTACATCCACTTCCTGCTGATTCAGATCAACATGAGAGAACAGAAGTATGAAGAGAGAGATCCAGAGAAACTCCTGCAGTCCAACAGAGACATGATTTTGAAACTTGCTGAACTGGCTTACAAACAGCTGATGAAGGGCAATGTGATGTTCTATGAGAAGGACCTGATTGAGAGCGGCATAGACGTCACTGATGCCTCAGTGTATTCTGGGATTTGCACTGAGATCTTTAAGGAGGAACCTGTGATTCATCAGAAGAAAGTCTACTGCTTCATACATCTGAGCTTCCAGGAGTTTCTGGCAGCTTTCTATGAGTTTCACTCCCAGAAAAGGTCTTTGGGCATGCGGCTCAAAAAAGTAATTGATGAATCATTGAAGAATGGACTCTTGGATCTTTTCCTGCGATTCTTGCTGGGCATCTCACTGGAGTCCAATCAGAGACTCTTAAAGGATCTACTGATAGACACAGAGAACACCTCAGATATCATCGATAGTGTCTTAATGTGTATTAAACATAAAATTAAAGGCAATGAACAACTCTCAGCTGATAAATCCATCAATCTGTTCCTCTGTCTGCTGGAAGTGAATGATCAGACTCTCTACACTGAGATACAGAAGTTTGTGAGATCAGGCATGGACTCACAGGAACTCTCACCTGCTCACTGCTCAGCAATAGCCTACATGATTGAGATGTCAGATGAGCCGCTGGATGAACTGAACTCCAAGAAATTAAAGGCATCAGATGAAGGCAAAAGAAGACTGATACCAGCTGTGAGGAACTGCAGAAAAGCCCTGTAAGGATTTTGTCATAAAGTGGCAGATTTTTTAATCACTGTGCCATAGCAGTTTAGCCAGATTGGAAGAGAAGTCTAAACCATGAATGAGTTGTAATCTCAGTATAATAACAGTTTATCTTCTAGTGATCATGATTTTTCATGGCCGATTTTGAATTTATTAATTTTTTTACTAGAAAAATTGGCAGATTTCGATACTGGTTGCTGACTTTGTTCAAGCTAATTTATTTGTTTATTTGCTCTATTACAGGCCAAACTGGCTTTAAAGTCCCTGTCAAGTCAAAACTAAGTATGTGTTCTGAGTTTGTCACACCACAGAAACATGTTATTAGCCACCCAGCCAAATTTGAATGATAAAAAAAGCCTCCAAGTAAATAAAATAAGCTATCAAATCTTGTAAAAATTAGCAGTATTCTCTGCTCTCAAATGCTGGGGGCGTGTCTGCTGGCTGCGCTGAAACCACACCCACCTGCGGGAAAGCAGATAACGGTGATATTAGGTGATACTGCTTTCGGGACTGGAGGATGAAGGCCGAGGCGGGAGATAGTCGGTTCGGCCCCATTCACCAGTAACAGCAGATTATCAGTGAATCCCAGTTGTCTCAGACGAATCCTGTGTAAAATGATCACTACAAAGGCGGGTGTTGGTGGTGATACTTAGCTCTCCATCAAGGTGGCTCTTCACAAAATTAATCCACCTCTTCTTGATATGATTGTTTTACGGAAATTTAAATAAGATGAAGCTCAGTGGCTCCAGTGCTTCATCGACAGTAGGGGCAGGGCCAGCCTCAGTGGCTCCAGTGCATCATCGACAGTAGGGGCAGGGCCAGGAGCTCAGTGACTCCAGTGTGTCATCAGTAGGGGCGGGGCCAGGAGCTCAGTGACTCCAGTGTGTCATCAGTAGGGGCGGGGCCAGGAGCTCAGTGGCTCCAGTGTGTCATCAGTAGGGGCGGGGCCAGGAGCTCAGTGGCTCCAGTGGGTCATCAGTAGGGGCGGGGCCAGGAGCTCAGTGGCTCCAGTGTGTCATCAGTAGGGGCGGGGCCAGGAGCTCAGTGGCTCCAGTGCGTCATCAGTAGGGGCGGGGCCAGGAGCTCAGTGGCTCCAGTGCGTGATCAGTAGGGGCGGGGCCAGGAGCTCAGTGGCTCCAGTGCATCATCGACAGTAGGGGCGGGGCCAGCCTCAGTGGCTCCAGTGCGTCATCGACAGTAGGCTCCATGTGTAATAGCGCATCCTACCGTATGACAGTGAAAACATGGATAGCCAGGAAATTCTGTCAATGGCTTGGAAAGAGTAAAGTAGATTTACAGTAAATTCCTAAGTACACTACCAGTGGCCTAGCCTACACAAAAAATCAGATACTCAGAATTAGGAACATGTTTTCTTTATAAATCAATATTTTCAAACAATGTAAGTTTATAAGACTGTATTTAAAAAAATTTGAAAAAAGTATTAAATTGCCTCCTCAATCAAAAGATTAAAAACAACTACAAGCCAAGTACACTTAGAATACTTAATTATACTTTAAAGTATATAGGGGCTTTCACACCGGAGGAACCTTTTCATAGTTCCTAGAACTATTGGCGGAAGTACCCGGATTTTGGCTTTCGCACCGCAGGAACTAGGAATGATTTTAGTTCTAGGAACTGCTCTTACTTCAGAGTAGGGTCTAAACCAAACACTAAAGGAACTGTAAGCCCGTCTAGATCGGCCCAAAGGCGGTTTCCGATAACGGGTGAAGGTCTCTGCGTGTTACTGTCATTCCTTTTACACAAAACAACAAGATTAAATGAAATACATTATCTCATATGTATTACCTCTTTATTTCATCTGACTCCATAAATGAAAAAGGTTTTGATGATATCTGAGCATCATTAAAAGTGAGCGAATGTTTGATTATTCGGTAACACTTTACAATACGGGTGCACTAATATGCATTAATTCATGTTTAACTAATGAACAGATAATCATGAGTTAATGTATGACTCATGAAGAACTAAACCATTAATTATTACTGCATCAGCAACTAATAAAGAGTATGATTAATAGATTAAGTAATACATGAATTGCTATTAATTCAATGTGTCATTGTGTATTAACTCCTTAACATATTTATTAACTAATAGTGTAAATTAATGTGTTAATTATCACAATTAGTCAAAGCTATGCACTTCAACTTCCAGTTGTCTGCTTTAATTAATCATTAGTTAATGATTTGCAAGGGTATCATTATGTTATGACTTTACTTGTTGAGGCACATGACTATTAACTAATTGTTAAGTAATATGTAATTTTGGTTTTGACATCCACACTATGGATTTCAATTTCCCGCCTTCTATAACCTGGATTCGACTGTGCCAGATGAACCGCCGCATCCAACAGTTCATGGCACAGGAGTGTGTCAGGTTAAGCTTGAGCTCTAGGATTTAAAGGAAGAACACTGAGAATATGCGGCCGGGCTCTGCTATTTCATAACACTGTGTCTAGACCGGACAAAGAAACTAGAACCCATTATAATCAGTGATACAACACTGATGCGATACAATGCTAGCCTACACGACACAACAAAACCCGGACAGTAAACTGATGCCTCACTCTATTTCTGACGTACTCCGAGCTCTTGCGCTACTTCTGTTATGAAGGACAAATGGACTTGCAGTGGTCTGTCATGTCCAGTGTAGACAGCTGTAATGGTCTCGTCCAGTTTAAACACGGTGTAACAGCGTCAGTATTTCAGATTCTGCTGTGCTGATATTTGTGTGCGGCCCAACTTGCCCAGCCTTCAAACACTCTGACATTACACTCACTGCATGTGCAACTGCCCCACAGACCTTTTGAGGGGATGACAAAACCCATAACCATAATGACATATTACTTAATTAGTTAATACCGTAGTCATATGCCTCAACAAGTAAAGTCATAACATAATGATACCTTTGCAAATCATTAGCTAATGATTAATTAAAGCAGACAACTGGAAGTTGAAGTGCATAGCGTTGACTAATTGTGGTAAGTAACACATTCATTTACACCATTAGTTAATAAAATATGTCATTAATATGTTATTATTGACTTATCTGTAGTAGTGGCCATACCTCTACTGACGTAAACGTTAAGTTAAATTCAACTGTATGCAATTCCATGGGGGCTATACCAAAGTATCTTTGATCTTTGATAAGGAATTAATACACAATGATACGTTTAATTAATAGCAATTCATCTATTACTTAATCTATTAATCATATAGACTCTTTATACATTAACTCTTGATTATCTGTGCATTAGTTAACCATGAATTAATGCATATTAGTGCACCCGTATTGTAAAGTGTTACCGATTATTCTTTTCTAACTCTTTAATTATATTTTACCCGTTCAGATTAGGAAACTATGTCGCTCAGAGGTCCTTACGTCATCTGTTTAATGTGTTTCACAATCTCGCCAGTTTTGGTCCTCAAACTGAGGTAATTGCTATATACCTGAGATCGGTCACATTCATGTTTACACAATCAAAGATACTTTGGTATAGCCCCCATGGAATTGCATACAGTTGAATTTAACTTAACGTTTACTTCAGTAGAGGTATGGCCACTACTACAGATAAGTCAACCAACTTTACTTGTCTTATAATAGCTTTGGATTGGCCATACCGTGATTTCCCACGTACACTTATCTAAAGAAACATTAGATCAAAACAGAGGTAAGACACACCCAGATTTATGTTGGTCAAGCAGCACTTTTGCTGCCCTAAACGGAAATTCACTTCTTGTCTTTGCAAACTACTGTAAAACTTAATAGCCTGGGCTTTTATTTTCCCAAATCGCCGAACTGCACCGGCTTGTGTTTGAGATAGGCGTCTATATGAGACAGGCCTTTAATTTAGTATTGAGATGTTGTTCATTGAGTGTCTAAAGATAACGATCCAAATAGCAGAGGCTGATAGACGGAAAGCATGAGAGTCGGAGGTTACACATTATATTACGTTTTATTTATAATTCGATTGTGTTTAACAAATCAGTTAATGTAAGAATTAGCCTACCCCTACCGTATGTCTAAAGGGGGTCACACACCGGACGAGAAGCGCAGCACCGCGCCGCGTCTATGACAACTCAAGGTATCGCACACCGGACGCGCACTTTCTCAGTTTATGGCTAGCTATATTGTTATGTTTAAGGACATTATGGAATTAAGATAATGTCTGTACGATGTTATGATTGTACTGTACAATTAAATACAATCGTTGCCAAGTCTGCAGTCTGAAAACTTTACCTCAGAGCGTCCGTTAACTGAATGAATTGAGAATATCATAATACCTCGAGTTGTCATAGACACGACACTGCACTTCTTGTCCGGTGTGCGACCCCCTTTAGATTACTGGCAGCATAAAAAAAACGAAACGATGTGACAGCCATGGGCTGAACAATACAATTTACCGGTAATATCCATTGAGCCTATATGAATTTGTTGCCCGAAACACATCAACAAGAAAGAATGAAGGCTACCCTGTAAAACAACTGCAATCATGTCATACAAAATGAACTTATTCATCACTATCATCATCATCGTGATCCTCAACTTCAAGTTCATTGGCGAATTCCTCCTCCTCGTCGCTCTCCTCCACTTCTCCTTCTCCGGCCTCCGCTAACTCTGCCTGCCTTGCTTGCGCTAACAGCTCCAGCCCAGATGCGCAATCTGCACCATAGAACTGGCTTAAACAGACGATGACGATCTGATGGGTTTTAGAAGATTAAATACAACCTGAAACTAAAAAACAGACATGGGGCCGTATTCACAAAGAATTTTAAGGCTAAAAGTAGCTCCTAACTGGCGAATTTAGGAGCAACTCCTAAAAATAATGGGCGTGTCACTCCTAACTTTAGGACTCCTAATTTTTTTCACTAAGAGTAATTCACGAAGCATTTTAGCCCTAAAAGTAGCACCTAAGTCTGGGACAGCTTAAAAGAAGTCGAGAGGATTCCTAACTCACTAAGACCTATTCACAAAGGATTGTAGCACACACCACCGCCTCTCACAGTCGTCCGGGATCCGCGACACAAGCGGGAATGCTGCATTGATCTGCAAACAAATCCTCTCCCACTCTCACGCTTAGTTTTGCTTGATATCCCAGTGCTGAATTTCCCTTTTATTGTGTTTTTTTGGGGGCTTTCTTTTCCACTTTGGCGAATTCATAATCCACCGTCATTCAACTATTACATTACTTCAATAGGAGCAACATTTCCTTGCTTTAAGTAGTCTATTTAGGCTAATAGGATGTCAATTAACCAAGCAAGTGTTAATGCAAGCGTCGTTTTTCATTATTAGGCAAGTGGCGGTTTTCATTGGGGTATTAGGCTACCTTGGTTTAATTTAATTTAATTCACGACTTTTCTCTCTCTCTCTGCCTTTTTTAGAATTACACTTCACTGGGGCCTGCACAAACATGTCATTATATATGCATTTCGATGACATTACTATTATTATTTAGTGTAGGACACAGACATATTTAGATGTCGTAATTCCATGATTTGTTGTGTCTGTGTTATGTTTCACATGATGGCCCTGTCATCCAACAACCAATCACCGTGATCATTGCGAGGAAGCTCGTGCATGAGAATTGAAGTCATCCATAGCAACGAAGACTCACTCTTAGTTAAAGGTGCATAGCGCAGGTCTCTGAGTTTTTGCAGAACTATGCCCCCTCTGGCGACAAGCGAAACTGCAACCAGTGATGTGCACGCTCATGGACCACACTCACGCTTGCACGAGCACGAGCTGTTCATCACCAAAAGAGCATCAGCCGCACAAATGCGAACCTGCGAACCTGACATAAAATGGGAGTGCCGGTGTTGTGCCAAATTTCGACCCCCGCCAAATTATTACCCCTCTAGCATTGGTAGGTTTAGGATTAGTTGTGAGGGAGGGGGTAGGATTAGGGGCGGGGTTGGGATTAGCCAATCAGGTACTGACTTCAATGTGGGGGGTAATAATTTGGCAGGGGGTCGAAATTAGGGACAACACCGGCATCCACTCTGCATCACGGGCTAATTTGAGCTACAGATCGCCACCAGCCTTCTTCAGCATCTTCCTAAATACTCAGACCAGGGCAGAAACCTCAGTGGGAATTTGCATTACTCACCGTCCCAGACTTACTGGGGACAGAAGTTGATTTAGGACATGGGGGCACCCCCACAGCAGTTGACGTCATCCATAGCAACGAAGACTCACTCTTAGTTAAAGGTGCATAGCGCAGGTCTCTGAGTTTTTGCAGAACAAGATATCTCTAAACTCTCCACACCTTATTACCTTTTTGGTTTACTTCTGTGGGAATGAGACCTTTGTACCAGTCGCACTGAGACATTTCAAATTATACCAAACATGTATAATACTGTATGATAATCGTTCATATTAAACCATATAGATTTTTTCAGAATTCAGATAGAGATGGGTGAAGGGAATGTGTAAATTGTGAGGTGATCAACTCAAGTGTGATCGTGTCTCGAATGGGAATGGTAATAAAGCAAGAGAGTTCTTTTGTTAATTGACCCTTCGCTAAGCCACACCCGAAAACCGCCACTGGCCAATCGTGGCTTAGCAACCGTAACTAGGCGTGGGAGGTCTGTCAAGCTTTCGAGCGAGGCAAACATGCCGACGCGTTGTGCGTATGGATTGTGCAAATCTGATACCCGGTATTCTAAAAGTTTGGACGGTGGGGTGGCATTTTTTCTCTTCCCGAAACCTAAAAGCCAAAGGGGAGAAATCCCGGGCGTGGATCAAGCAGTGTGGAGACCCATTCACAACTAAATGTCGACAGGATTAACAAAACAAAAAAACGCCTATTGCTTGGAAATAATGGCGGTTCTTTGTTCATAATGCATATATTTGAACGTAAAATAAGACGATTAAAGGCAAGACGGAGGCTCACTGACATACTTTAAAATATGTTTCAGCATTGTGTTAATCGACGGCGGACGGCCTACTAACGTTAACTTTATCCCTGTAACTTTACCCCAATCCGATCGCGGCTCTCCCGGTGTTAGATTGATAAGCTTTTTGATTTAAATTGATTTGATATTAGATTATTTTCACATTTCACTTACTCTGCTGTGCATGAACATAGCTGTTCAATTTGTGTGTTTCCCATTTGAATGGTCTGCTAAGGAGGCGGCTGCTGCTTACGCTGGGACCTAACGTTATAGGCTTTAGCTTCAATTTTGATGAAATTATTCTCTAATCGGTTGCATATTATGTCGTGGATATATCCCTCGAATGCATACTGCTGTCCCTTTTGTCTTGCTCTCTCAGATATTTCACTTGTTCGCCAAAAATGACTAAATATCTCCTTGGGAATGTCTGACACCGGTGCATTCACACTGTAATAGACGTGGCAGCCGCGAAAGCTTGACAGGCGTAGCAACAGTAACTAAGGAGGGCGGGGCTTAGCGAAGGGTCAATTAAAATTAATTTCAGTTTAAGTCACTTACGTGTTGGTTTCAAGAGAGAGAAAGTAAGGTTGCCGCTTGGCCAAAATGTAGAAATGAAATGAGTTAGCATTTTAGCACTTCCGGTTCCATCATCCCGAAGTCAATGTTTTTTTTTTGGTTAAATGGCTGAAATAAGGTCTGTGGTGAATATAAGCTCAAGACACTTTCAAGTTTTATTCTACGACATAAAATACATCAGTATTTCCCCACTCATTTTTAAGCTGTTACGTGTCTTGAAAAAGGCGATTGCTAACAAGTGGCTAAATGGCACAACAGAGGCTGTCGAGGAGTTTAAACATCATCTCGCCGAACAGCTAAACTCAGTCCACTTTTACAGCAACATTATGCTTATTATTGTTCTCTTATAAACTAGTCTAATTCAAATGTTCTGGGAAAATGTTTTAGATAAAAAACTAAGAGTTGTCGGAGGCTCAGTGATGGTGATGTTGAAGTCGTGGAACAGTCTAGTTCGTTTATAGCCTACCTTTAGCTTTTTACTTCTGGTGACTGCAATTAGGCTTAAAAAATTCAAGGTTTTTTCATCTGTGAAAATTACCTTGATGGACAAAACGTGTATATCATAAACTGCTGTTGATCAGAGAGCTTGTTTTTTGCGATAATCCAAAAGCCTATGAAAAAATGCGAACTGCCGGTTGGCCTACAAAGTGGCGTCATACCGGCACCACTCTATTACCATAGAGATTAGAATTTTTGACCACCTTTTCTTTAACGCAAAATTCATTAATACATTAATAAAGAGTAAGCGTCCCACTAAAATATGTAATTTTTCAAGTTTCTATTGAATGTGAGCATTTTGGGGAGAAAAATAATAATAATTCATTACATTTATATAGCGCTTTTCTAGGCACTCAAAGCGCTTCACATGGAAGGGGGAATCTCCTCAACCACCACCAGTGTGCAGCATCCACCTGGATGATGCGACGGCAGCCATATTGCGCCAGAACGCCCACCACACACCAGCTTACTGGTGGAGAGGAGACAGAGTGATGAAGCCAATCAGAGTATATATATATATGGGGATGATTCAGAGGCCACTGGGCAAATTTGGCCAGGATGCCGGGGTTACACCCCTACTCTTTCGAAAGACATCCTGGGATTTTTAATGACCACAGAGAGTCAGGGCCTCGGTTTAACGTCTCATCCGAAGGACGGTGCTCTTTGACAGTATAGTGTCCCCGTCACTATACTGGGGCGTTAGGACCCACACAGACCACAGGGTGAGCGCCCCCTGCTGGCCTCACTAACACCTCGTCTAGCAGCAACCTGGTTTTCTCAGAAGGTCTCCCATCCAGGTACTAACCCGGCTCAGCCCTGCTTAGCTTCAGTGGGCAACCAGTCTTCGGCTACAGGGTGATATGGCTGCTGGCTAGTGCTGGAAGTGTGGTGGAATCTGTGTATATGAATACTGTGATAATTACAGTACTCCAGTTCTCCTTATGTATCGCAATCGGTATTATGCAGATTAGTGTGTAGTGCTACTGTGTATATTTTCTCTGCTTTTATTTATACTGTTGTTTTTTATTTATTATCGTTGTTTTGTATTTATTATCGTTTTAAGCAATTTTGTGTTTTAAAAAAAAAAATCCTTTCTAGAGATTTTGTGTGGGTTTTTTAAAATCCTTTCTAGAAAGATCAACTATGATGGTGATGAACGGTGCTTTGAAACCTTCTGAGACCTTCCTATTTAAATGGTAATTCTGCAAAGTGTCAATTAACCATTTACTGTTATTTTAGATTCTCAGGTTGTAATCTCACTTATCAGTGCTGTGAAAGTGTGGCTACAGCTCTACAATTCAATTCTTCATTGAGAGAGCTGGACCTGAGTAACAATAACTTGGAAGATCGCGGAGGGAAGCTGCTGTTTGATGCACTAAAGAGTCCAAACTGTCAACTAGAAAAACTGAGGTTTGTTTGTCAGATTCCTTTGTATATATTTGTTATTTCATTTTACTAACAGTATAGAGAGTTGATTTGTTGGACACACCTGCACAAAACAATAACAGCAGACAGACGAATGAAAATGCAAATTCAACAGCAGCTGTTTCTTTGGGCACTGCTGTAAACAAAGCAGCTGCGCTTATAAACACTAGTTTATTCAGAGGTGAGAGGAAAAGTCAATGGCATCGAAACTTTTCTGAAGACAGTCACGTGAAGCAGAGCAGAGACAAAGGCAATCCCCGATTGGAGATTGAGAGCGAGACCAGGGCTCGTGAGGAACTGCCTGGAGAAATCAGGAGGGGAAGCAAAAACAAAACTGAAAGATTAAAACAAAACTGGCAAAGTATCCAACACGACATGGCAGAACACAAGACAGTGCGGCTTGAACAATTGGCTTGTGTTAACGTCCCGTTTACAGACCTCGTAATATTTGCACACAAGACATTTTGGGAAATTATTGCAATGTAGTTTGTGTGCAAGATCGCCAAAATAAAGCTAAAACCCGTCCAGTTGCCGATAGTGTGTTTGGAGCAAAAACCATCCATTTCAGATGTATGGCTGGTGGACCGGTGCATCTCTATCTTCTGTGTATTTTTTTTAATCCTTTCTAGAAAGATCAACTATGATAGTGATGAATGGTGCTCTGAAATGTGTAGGGCATAGTAACAGTTGTTAACGTTAAGATCAAACAGTTTTGAGACCTTCCTATTTAAATGGGAATTCTGTAAAGTGTCAATTAACCATTTACTGTTATTTTAGATTGTCAGGTTGTAATCTCACTGATCAGTGCTGTGAAAGTGTGGCTACAGCTCTACAATTAAATTCTTCATTGAGAGAGCTGGACCTGAGTAACAATCACTTGGAAGATCGCGGAGGGAAGCTGCTGTTTGATGCACTGAAGAGTCCAAACTGTCAACTAGAAAAACTGAGTTTTTTTTTGTCAGATTCATTTCATTTTACTAACAGAATAGAGAGTTGATTTGTTGGATAAAAGTGGAAATGATCAAATATATTGTTATTTGCCAGTTTCAAAAATGTTACAGCATGATTTAAGTTATATATATATATATATATATATATATATATATATATATATATATATATATATATATATATATATATATATATACACTGCCTATACATATAAAAAAGAAACAACTGATAAAAATCTTTGGAATGTCACAATTCATTTCAGCCCAAAGAATATCAGATAAATTTGTACCACTTTATGAACACATTTTACTGAAAGTTACACTGCTCACTGAAAGCTCTTCTTGAATCTTTTGCCCCAGCTAACAATTTCTGGTTCCCAGAACATCCCCAGAACTAACGTTCTCTGTTGGTTATCCTGGAAAGTTTTCTTTATGTAAAAAGAACGTTCCCTGTTGGTTTTGTCCCTAACTTCTATACTCTGATATCATTTACCCTGCTATACATCAGTAATCATCCAGTACTGCTGCATCAATACTACAAACCATGTCTTTTGATCTGTTTTAATGCTTCATATGATTTCTATTGATTAAACTACAGATTCAATTTTTCCATTAACATGTAAGATTTCGTATGGGCTTGTGTCACTACCACAATGACCCAGATTTTACGTTATTTCAGCGCCAAATAACAATGACTAACAGTACAATCTAGGGTTTTTAAAATATGAAATTTATTCACAGACATTAAAAAAAATTAAGAAACCGTTATTTTATGAACTAATTAACTTTAACTAGGATAATGTTCTGAGAAGGTTCACTTTAGTCAAATCTAAAAATAACCTACAGGGAACGTTCTGTATAAGTTATCTTTAGGTTGTTACAAAAAACCCTCCCTGCAACCTTCTGGGGGGGGGGAAAAGAAAGAAAAAACATACAGAGAATGTTCCTAGAATGTTCTTATTTGGGAATGTTCTGTGTTTACTGGGTTTTGTAAAGCATAAATACATTGCAAATGCAGTTCTTACATAAGGGTCAATGATGTAATAATTTAATCTTCTGTTTAGATTGTCCATCGGTAAGTTCACTGATCAGTGTTGTGAAAGTGTGGCTTCAGCTCTACAGTCGTCAAACTCCTGCATAAAGGAACTGGACCTGAGTAACAATAACTTGAAAGATTCAGGAGTGAAGCTGCTCTCTGATGCACTGAAGATTCCAAACTGTAAACTGGAGAAACTGAGGTAATTTTAAAATAGTCATAAAACTGAGGGGATATATATTTATATATATTAGGGCTGTCAAAAGATTAATCGCGATTAATCGCATCCAAAATAAAAGTTTGTGTTTACATAATACACGTGTGTGTACTGTGTATAATTATTTTGTATATAAATGCACACACGTATATATTTCAGAAAAATATGTTATTTATATATAAAATGTTTATATTTATATAAAATATACATTATATATAGGCTACATTCAGTCAATATACAGTATATACATGCAAATATTTCTTAAATACACATGCATGTGTGGGTATTTATTTATTAAAAATAATTATACACAGTACACACACATATATTATGTAAACACAAACTTTTATTTTTGTTGCGATTAATCGTGATTAATTTTTTGACAGCCCTAATATATATATTTATGCCTTTGATGTCTGTCATTGTAGATTATCTGGCTGTATGGTGACAAAAGAAGGATGCTCTCATCTAGCTTCAGCTCTGAGTTTAAACTTCTCACACTTGAGAGAGCTGGATCTGAGCTACAATCACCCTGGAGATTCAGTGCTCACTGCACTGATGGAGGATCCAAACTGCAAACTGGAAAAACTCTGGTATGATGGACACTACCTATGTTTACATGAATACTTTTTTATTGATATAAATGTAGCCTATTATTATATGATTTCATTCTCATTGATAATTCACAAAATACTCCTTACATGAACTCTAAATTGAGGTACTGAGTTAATATACAACCCGAATTCCGGAAAAGTTGGGACGTTTTTTAAATTTGAATAAAATGAAAACTATAAGACTTTCAAATCCCATGAGCCAATATTTTATTCACAATAGAACATAGATAACATAACAAATGTTTTAACTGAGAAAATTTACACTTTTATCTAATAAATTAGCCCATTTCAAATTTGATGCCTGCTACAGGTCTCAAAATAGTTGGGACGGGGGCACGTTTACCATGGTGTAACATCTCCTCTTCTTTTCAAAACAGTCTGAAGACGTTTGGGCATCGAGTTTATGAGTGTCTGGAGTTTTGGTGTTGGAATTTGGTCCCATTCTTGCCTTATATAGGTTTCCAGCTGCTGAAGTGTTCGTGGTCGTCTTTGACGCATTTGTCGTTTAATGATGCGCCAAGTGTTCTCTATAGGTGAAAGATCTGGACTGCAGGCAGGCCAATTCAACACCCGGACTCTTCTACGATGTAGCCATGGAGTTGTAATAGCTGCAGTATGTGGCTTTGCATTGTCCTGCTGAAATACACAAGGCCTTCCCTGAAATAGACATCGTCTGGAGGGGAGCATATGTTGCTCTAAAACCTTTATATAGCTTTCAGCATTTATAGTGCCTTCCAAAACATGCAAGCTGCCCATACCGTATGCACTTATGCACCCCCATACCATCAGAGATGCTGGCTTTTGAACTGAACGCTGATAACACGATGGAAGGTCTCCCTCTTCTTTTGCCCGGAGAACACAGCGTCCGTGATTTCCAACAAGAATGTCAAATTTGGACTCGTCGGACCATAGAATACTTTTCCACTTTGAAATAGTCCATTTTAAATGAGCCTTGGCCCACAGGACACGACGGCACTTCTTTTTTTTTTTTTTTTTTTTAAACAAATATATATATATATATATATATATATATATATATATTTTTTTTATTCAAGCTTTTGACATTGACAGGGTTTAGACATAGTTGGCCAGTCTGAGCTAAGACAAATTGCCCAGGTGGCTATTCTCCACAGAATACACACTAAAGTACATTTTCACAATATATATCACAAATAATTACCAGAAAAAAAAAAGAAAAAAAAAAAGGAAACTAAGCATCAGAATTGGGTAGTTATTCAGTCCTTCCATGCCAGGTTCTGTATTCCCAGCGCTAGCAGATGTGTCTCTCCCCCCCAAGATAAGTGAAGAAGGGGTCCCATACTCTATAGAATTTAAAAGGTTTATCTTTTAATGCTGTTGAAAAAGCTTCATAAGGAATAAGGCCTTTGGCTGTGTTGATCCACTGTGCTATTGATGGGGCTCGATCTGTTATCCAACATACAAGTATGCATTTGCGAGCACAGTGTAGTAAAATTTGAAGAAGGTGTGCCCCTTGGAATTTGGACGGGAGTTCCTGGCTCATCCCAAGCAAACATGTCTTTGGTCCTAATTGTAATGAGCAGCGAAATATGCTCTCAAGTTCCTTTAGGACGCCCATCCAGAATAGTTGTATTGTTGAGCAGCTCCAGAAACAGTGGAAGAGGGTTCCTTCTAGTCTTTTACATTTATTACAGAGGTTGGAGAGTTTTGGGTTCACTTTATGTCTTTGGGCTGGAGTCACATGCAAACGATGAACAATTTTAAATTGCATTTCCCAGGCTGAGTTGTTGGCTAGATCAGGCCCGTCGCCAAGGGGGGGCATTAGGGGGCCGTGCCCCCCCAGATGACACAACGTGCCCCCCTAATCATATGGTCATTGAACAAACTTACTATTGAGAGCAAAAAAACGTATCCACGTATTCCATAACGAAATGTCGTCAGCAGCATGTAGCACACAGGTGCACTAATCTCTGTAACTTTAAATAACACATTGTCTTCAGAAATATGAAAATTAGTCGGAGCGTGTAAGGCTCAAGGCTTACCTTCCCCTGGCCAAGCGGGCTGGTTGAATTTTCTGATTCATTTGCCTGCTAAAAACAGCCTATACTGTTTCCACGAAAAAAAAGGGTAATTTTTCTCAGAACTGCGTGATATAAAATCAAAATGGCAAGTTATAAAGTCAGAGTTGAGTGATGTACAGTCACATTTGCGTGTTATAAAGTCAGAATTTTGAGGAAAAAATTGAGAGAAATCCATGTGAGAATTGTGAGATAAAAAGTCGCAATTATCTTTTAAATTTTTTTATTGCGTGGCGAAAACAAGCTTCCATATACTTCTGATTGCTTTTAGAGGGAAAAGCTGTCCATAAATGCTGGTCTAGGATCAGTTTTCTCCGTAATAAAAGAATATTGGCTAAACTCCGGTGTTTTGAGCGGTGAGTGGATTAGTTCTACGCGCGTGCAAATCCTCTCGTTATAATAAGCAGTTAGGCTATGCTAATAAGGCATTATTGTGTATCAGCTTTACTGATAGCCTAGGAACTTTGTGAGATCGCGATGAAGTTGTAGGCTATAACCGCTTTTTAAAGATAATAAAATAGGCGCTCTGCGAGCTTTCTGCCATGTCAAATCCTGCATAGTAAATGTTTTTAAAGGGGAAGCGCATATCCTCATGGTGTTGGTTCACCCTCCGCCTATGATCAGAAACTTAATATTTTGTGTTTTGGTGTTGTTTAAATATAGAATTTGGTCTATTTCAGTTATATTAGACTAAATAGGGGATGTTATTGTTTTTGTGACTGTTTGTTTTGTAGATCATAAAAAGTGTGCCCCCCCCCCATGAAAATGAAATGCCCCCCCCATTCTATATGTTCTGGCGACGGCCCTGGGCTAGATAGGAGGGAATCTCACATACGGCTTCCCAATCAGTTGTCTGAATTTCTTCCCCAAAGTCCTTTTCCCATAACACCCTAGTTCTATCTGAGTTATCTGTATTTGCCCTTATCAAAATGTCATAGAAGATTTTGGATGCAGATCGAGATGACGTAAGTTTATTTAATTGTTCCTCAATTGGGGACACACATAGACCACTTGAATAGACTCTGAGATTTTTTGTTATAAAGCTGCGTATTTGGTGGTATACCAAGAAGAACTTCTTATTGATATCATATTTTGCAGTGAATTGTTCGAAGGTCTTTATTCGAAGGAATTATTCTCCATCAAATCTCCTATGACATGTATTCCTTTATCTTTCAAATGTATTAGGCCATCACTCATCCCCGGGGGGAAATCTGGGTTGTTATGCAAGGGTGTGAGTAGTGAAAGGTGGGAGCCAAGCCCTTCTGTTTTGCGTACTAATCTCCATATATTTTAATCATATTTTTAAGGATGAAATTATCTTTAGTTAAAGTTCGCTGTGTTTTGGGCGACAGATATAGTAGATTACGTAGAGGGATTGGCCCAAGAGTTGTGGCTTCTGCGCTAATCCAAGTTGAGTTTGGATCGTTCAAGTGCCATTCCAGTGTAAATCGAAGTTGGGCAGAGAGCTGATATAGGCTAATGTCTGGGGCCGCTAGACCTCCACATCTACTCAAGAGTGTTAAAAAGCTATATCTCAGTCTAGGTCTTTTTTTTCCGCCAAATAAAGGAAATAATGGAGCCACGCAACTGTTTAAGTGCTTTGTTAGGAATGAGAACTGGTAGCATTTGAAATGGGTATAGAAGGCGGGGTAAAATATTTATTTTGACAAGATGGACACGGCGTAATAGGGATAAGGGAAGATTACACCATCTATCTAGATCTGATCTGATATTCGAAAAAATAGGGACGAAATTGCTTTTATACAGACCTTCCAGCCTCTGTGTAATCTTTATACCCAAATACACAAAGCCTGCCGGAGACCATTTAAATGGGTGAGAAATTGTAAGGTTGTGGGAGTGCGATTTACTTAACGGCATTGCTTCTGACTTTGAAAGATTTATTTTATACCCAGAGAAAGAGCCAAAATTAGAAATTGTATCAATAAGATGTGGAATTGATTGTTGTGGAGAGGCGAGGTAAATTAAGATGTCATCGGCGTACAGTGAAATTTTATATGTTTTCTCTTCCAGTCTAAGTCCTTCAATGGTTGGGTCATCTCTAATGGCTGTAGCCAGCGGTTCAATAGCCAGCGCGAACAGCAGCGGCGACATCGGGCAGCCTTGTCTGGTACCACGCGCTAAAGTAAATCTAGGGGATTTAAGACCGTTAGTAATGACTCTCGCTGTGGGGGAAGAGTACAAGATCCTAACCCATTTAATAAATGCATCACCCAAATTAAATTTAGAGAGAACTGAGAATAAATATGGCCATTCGACCCTATCGAATGCCTTCTCAGCGTCTAATGAGATGACCAATCCAGAGTTTGCGTGCTGATTTGAATGTTGAATTATGTTAAGAAGCCTTCTAATATTATGAGCTGAGGATCTGCCTTTGACAAAGCCTGTCTGGTCAGGATGAATTATTTTGGGGAGAATTGATTCCAGTCGAGTGGCTAATATCTTTGCCAAAATTTTTGTGTCCACATTTAGCAGAGAAATAGGGCGATATGAACCGCACTCCTCAGGGCATTTACCTTTTTTTAAAAAGACACATATGTTGGCTTCTGTCATGGAGTCAGGAAGCTTATCAGAATCAAACGAATAATGTATCATTTCATGCATTAAGCTCCCTAGCTCCATTTAAAATTTCTGAAAAAATTCCACTGTAAACCCATCGGGCCCTGGTGCTTTTCCTTTGGGAAGACTATTAATACAATTCAAAATTTCGCTCAGCTCAATTGGTTTGTTTAACATCCGTCTTTGCTCCTCAGTTGATTCCTGTATATTTAAGTTTGCAAAGAATTTATTCATATTATCACCAGAAGAGAGGCTTGATTGGGATGAATAAAGCCTCTTATAAAACGCTCTAAAGATTTTTTTGATTACTTTGTTATCATGATGACACTTGCCTTCTTTATCTTT